ATGTTTGTATATGTATGTTTGTGTTTATGTATGTATGTATGTATGTACGTATGAAAATATGTATGTATGTGTGTATGTATGTATGTAAGCATGTATGTATGTATGTGTGTATGTTTGTGTGTATGTGTTTGTATATTTTAAAGATGTTGATGTGTAAGAGGGGAAGAATAGTGGCAAGAATGGCGACAATGATGAAGAAATGATAATGTTAATGATGACGACGACGATGACGTCATATTTAGTTTTGTCACCTCCGTAAGGTTCATGAGGTGCTATTGATTATGACGAGTTTGTTTGTATGGCATTGTCGTGTTGATGACGATGACGATGACGATGATGATGATGATGACTTGGGTAAATAAAATTCTTATGATGATGATGATGATGACGACGATGATGGTGATGATAATGATTGAAATGATGATGATGATGATATCAGAAATAAAGATAACGACTTGAGGATAGCAATGAAGATGATTTTGGCTGATAATATTATAGATATGATGACGATGAAGACGTGAATGATGATGTGGATGATGATGGCGGCGATGATCATGATGATCATGATTCCTCAGAGATGAAATGTTTCTTAATTAAAAAAATTCTTCCTCCAATTAATAAAAAATCAAAGTCTAAATTAATTAAAATTGCCGGCCAACTCTCTAAAAATTATCGATCATCATTAATTACGGCATGAAAAAAAAAACAAGGGCTATAAAAATAAATTGGTTTTTATGTCCATATACGTGATTTCAGCCACTTTTAAAAAAAAGATTTTCCGCTATTTTCATAAAAATTTCATGCTATTTATGATAGAATTTTCCGCCATTTTGAAACAATTCCCGCCAATTTTCTAAAAAAAATGCCCTCCATTTATAAAAATTATAAATTACCAAACTTCCGGAACTTCCTAAATTTACCAAATCACCACTAATCCACCAAAAATTCACCATTTTTTATTTGTATATTTATGAACCTTTGTACGTAAATTATTTTTCCATCATAAAGTCAGCTATTTACAATTTATGTTCCAATGTAAAGAAGTAAATTTTGGTAACAAATTTATGCGTGTTTGTGTGCGCGTGTGTGTGTGTCTGTGAGTGAGTGAGTGTATGTGTCTGTGTGTGTGTGTGTTTGTGCCTTGATTGATCGTCATCGGTATTATTAATGTCATCCTCTCCATTTTCATCCTCATCTCCCTCACCATCTCCCTCACCATCTTCCTCATCATCTTCCTCATCATCTTCATTTTCACCGGCGCGATAACTAATTCATGTCATCCTGGCGACAATCATCATTTATTTTCACCTTTCAAC